GCGCTCTCGCTACTGAAACCGCACGTCGCGAGCGCGAGCTCTCGTCGGTGGGTGTCATTAATATCCGCGGATATAATTTGCAAAACAATCGGCGAATCGAGCCGGCCGTCGTGTTTCGCGATGCTTTTCGCCCGCGCGCGAGCGTTTAACGCGATACACTGATTGGCTGAGCGTGCGACGCACATGGCAAACAAAAATGCCGGGCTCGCCGCGATTGTTTGTTAGAACAAGGTGGTGGCTCACGCACGGACACGCTTGTTGTTTATTATCGGCCAGGATCGATTCGATCGGCTGAAGCAAGCGTGCACACCTGTGCACGTTTGTTTGTTCGTTAAAGTGCAGCAACCGCGTGTATACCGCCGCGCGCGGCCTTTTCGACGCATCCTAACGATTTGTCACGTAGCAACAAACTTTTTACTCCTCTCTCTCTCTCTCTCTCTCTCTCTCTCTCTCTCTCTTGCTCTCTTGATTCCTCGTAAATATCGGGCAAATACTCGAGCGAGAAACCGCGATTCGGAAGCAAAGTTCGGAGCGACCTATGAGCGAAAATCAAGGATAAACTCGTGCTGCCAAAGAAAACTTTAAGAAAACTTTAGAAACGTAAATATATGTGAAAAGTGAATTTATGTTAACAGTGGCCATTTTAAGATAAGTAAGCAACATTTTCTAACCATACGATTGACAGAGTTTAAACGAGATCTTGCCTGCAAACTTTTCTCCGGGCGTCTTTCCGTGAACTTTTGCACGAGCATCACGAATCGCTGCAAATATTATAGATTCGCCCTCGTTTTCTTTCCGCGCGAATTAATCGCGCTTTAGACTTGGATTTTTCTTCCCTCCCAGAGTTTATTCTCCCGAAGTTAGCCGCGTCAAAATCTTCGATTTTGTCAAATGTCATTTTTCTTTATCGAAATGTGATACGGGACGAAAATTGCTCTTGTCGAGCTAATGAGAATCAACGTCACCTCGACAGTTCTGCAGAGCAATGTAAACTCGGTTCTCGGTTCTCGGTTCCGCTGTCGCGCGAATAAAGGACGGGTGTCGATCACGCGACAGGAAAAAATTCCTACATCCTCGCACGATTTCATTTCGTCTCTCTTCTCCTCTCCCCCCTAAGCGCGGCTTGTGACACGAGGGATGCTCGTATAGCTAGTGCGCGGCCGGCAACAAGATCGTAAAATGCAAATCGCCCGTCGATGCGACGCGCCCGGCGTGATTGGCCCGCGTAATTCGCAATCCTCGTGAGAGCCGATACACGGGGATGGATGCTTGCTCAAGATCCGCTTTAGCCGCCGCGAGTTCGAGAAGCGGCATCAATTTTTGATTCATCGCCGCGCGCTTCGCCTCCTCCGTCCCTTCCTTTCCCGCCATGGCACAGACGTAGCGTTTCCCCTAACGTGCCGGAAAATCCCCCGAGTTATACTCGACGCGTCGAGATGCATTTGGTTAGATGGGCGTTAAATCGAACAACGTGATATTCTCGCCGAAAATGACTCGCGGTGACTTTCTCGGATTGATAATTTCTCGCATAATCGGTGATAAATTTATCTCAATTGGTTTGTACATTTATATTATATTATATTATATATATTATAAGTTTATTGACGAAGCAAAGTTGGGGGGGAGGTGTAACGATTTGTTGAGTAGCTCGCACTTCTCTCTCAGGGTGACAGAGTCTCGTCAAGTCGCTGTTTCTTTTTTTTTTTTTTTTTTTTTTTTTTTACGTTCTAAGACATACGTTCCCATTGCAAATTTTGCGGATCCTCTACGGCACAACCGTTGCGCGCTACAAATCTAACAAAAAGTCCCGGAGAAAAGATCTCAACGTCCACCAAACCTGGATCGTCGACGAGCATTTTTCGCTGAATCGACGCGAAATCTTGTGTCTCGCTTGCGCTCTTCGCTTGAAATGTAGAAACGACGCGATCGCGAAGGCACGACATCGCGACCCTTTTTGTCAGGTTTTTACGAACCTTCTCGGCTCTCCGCGTTCGACGAGTCGTGGTCGAGCTCTCGAAGAGGGCTGGTTGGAAGCGTGTTTGTCTAGGTAGGTAGGTAGGTAGGTAGGTAGAGGTAGACGTGGCTAAGTGGAGCAAAACAGAAAAAAGGCATCGAAAGCAAAGGAAAAAAAGCGGAGCCATGGTGAGCGAAGCGTTCTCGATATAAAGAACGAAACAAGTCGCGATCCACCCGGAAACTCCGTCCCTTTTTCGCCAGACGCAAAGGTACTTGAGCGAAATCGAAATAATCGGAAATCGACGGGAAGGCTTTGCCATTGTTTTCACCGAAAGGGGTTGAGGGTTGCGCGAGGGGGACCAAGGGGACAGGGTGAGGAGCAAAGGGGGAGCCCGACGAGCACGACGGAGAACGATCGATTTCCTCTTTTCTCTCTCTCTCTCTCTCTCTCTCTCTCTCTATTTCCTTCTTCCTTCCTCATTTTTTCCTCTTTCTGTTGTTGCATTGTGTTTCCTCTCTTTTTTTTCCCGCCGCTTTATCGTTTTCATTAAACTGTCTCGCGTAACTGATATCCGGTAAGATATCCGCGCGGTAAAACAAATTAGTTGCCCTTCGACACGTCACGTTGACTTTTATTTAACACCGTCGCGCTCCCCCGCCGACAATCCACGCGGACTCGTACGTTCACACACACACACACACACACGTGCACACGCATGTGTGAAGCTGGCCTTTGCGAGTCGACGAGATTAAACGCGGGGAATCGTTCGCACGCTAATTTAAGCCGCGCATTGTGCGCAGCCTGTCGCATTAGTTACGGCGCGGTGGAGCTAGCGTGCGCGACCGCCCGAATCGTTTTGTCGTCGATATTTAGCTCACAAATTGATCGCGCGATTTCGCGACGCTCGTTACATAAATGACGCGGCGAACGAACGCGAGTTGAATAACGCGAATGATACTTAATCGATTAACAAAGAGGACTGATCCTCGGGAGCGTACAGAATCGTCGGCTCGCAAGGGGCCTCTCTCTTGCGATACTCCGATTTCTGAGATAAGGATAATAACGTCGGATTCGTTGGACTTGCGACACTTTATCCTTCGCAGTGATGAAAATGACAAGGACGACCTAATTCTTGCAAAATTTCTACCGCGAGCTTCTCCGAGCAATCCAGAGACAATTTTACCTTATCGAAAATGTCGAGGGAAAACATTGCTCTCGACGATTTTTCAATTCTCAATATCTCTCGCAATTTTTTTTTTTTTTTTTAACATTTTGTTGTAACATGTTTTTGTAGCTAAATTCCGAATAAAAATCCTGTTAGAGTACGCTTAAAATTGATCAAATAGAATAATGTTGTTATCCATCTGAACGTGCAGAGCTTAGTTGGCGAAAAAGCTCATTTTTCGATCCTTTTTTGTATCTCGGAAAAACTACCGATGCCTCGACATTTACGCTGACAAAGAGCAAAAAGATTCCAAATTACTCGGAGGAACTCTCAATTTTTATTATGGTCACAAGTCGGGAGATCTATTTTAGTCTTTTTATCCACTTGGAATCCCCCTCAAAGTTTCAGCGTCCATGAAACGACGCTTACACCTTATCTCCGAAGTTGGAAGTCGCAAAGGACAAAAATCTCTCTCTCTCTCTCTCTCTCTTTCTCGCCAGAGACAGAGAGATTTTTACGTAGGTACTACTGTATACGTTCGTCGTTAACCATAACGTCCCCTTGAATTCAGACGCGTCTCGGAGCAAAGTGAATTGGCACGTGAATTCGAGGATGAAAATAGCGAAGAAGGTGCTCTAAGAATAACAGGCGCCATGCAATTCTCATTGAACCGCTTGTCTGAATTATTAACGTTACACTCTCTCTGGACGCGTCGCGTTGCAAGCGCTCTTGCAAATTCACGTGTCAAGTGCGAAGCGACAACGGTGACCGCAATGTCTGAATTCAAGCGAGATTTCACTGCGGTTGCACGTTTGAGGAACTTATTGTGCGCGCGTGAAGCACGGATTTAATCGATGTAATGTAACTCGCGCGAGCGCGCGCGCTCGAAAACAACGGAGCCATACAGCGTGTTCGCACGCAGAGAACGCGCGGTTATTTGTCGATACGCTGAACAATTTATTTTCGCAAAAACGCGAGAGCGTGTGCCGAACAAAAGAGATGGGGAGGAAAAAGAAGCGGCCGCCGAAAAAGAGAGAGAGAGAGAGAGGGGGGGGAAGAGAGAGAGAGAGAGAGAGAGAGAGAGAGAGAGAGAGAGAGAGAGGCGATCGAAAGGAAATAACGTGCAACCGCATACAATTTTTAATCGTTTATTAAATATAGCCCTAGTAATTTGTTCGTACGATGCACAAGTATTCGTCATTATCACGTTTCGAGCCGATTTTTCCCGATATAAACGAAATCAGAGCCCGCGATACTGCGAATTCCGCGGCGAATATTGCGCGCACGGGTCCGCGCGTGTGTACACATAAATCCGCTTCTGCATCGAACGACGCATATTTGATTACAGGATCCGCGCGCGGCCGTAAAATTGTCAAAGTTTACAGCGCCTGCCGGCGCGATTTTATCCCCGACGCCGGAAATTTCTCTCTACCGCGATTCTCTGATCGCGAGCAGCGATTTATCTCCATTGTCGCTTTTGCCCCGGCCGATAATTATTGTCGCGCGACAAACTCGCGCGCTTTCCAAACTTTTAATTGAAACCGCCGGCCGCGCATAATCATTCGTAATCGAGACTCGCCGCCGGCCGGCTGCTGTTTTCAATTTGAATCACGAGAGATTACACGCTCGCAATTCGATCGTGCGATTCGAGCGCCAGAGTTCTTCCGCTCTCCCGAGCTGGGGAGACGACCACCGCATGGAATTCGCCGTTCCTTCTTCAAAGGCGCCGGGCTACCTGAGTGTATAGAGTAACAAACGCGCCCTTTGACACGGCCACGCGCGGATTCCGCAATTGATTGGGCCAGCAAGGCGGGAGAGAACTCCCGCCGATCAGCCAGAAGTTTCGGTTGTACTAATGCGTGCTCCTCAACTCGACAGGTGAACAACGCAACAGCGAGGGTACAGACGAAAAAACCGCCGACGGTGCCGAACGGTAAGTCGAAACCTTCCTTATTTCTCTCTTTACCACTCTTATTTATTCATCGGCCCGTTTCTTTCGCTCCGTAACACTTTCTTCGCGGAGAACGGAGGAGAGGGGAGTTCAACCGCGACCGCTCAATCATTACTGAAGCTGAAATATCGCACGCACAGAGTGTCTCGCGGGAGCATGCACGCACGTTGGAATGCGCGCCGCGGTGTGCGTTTGTGTGTTGTTTCGCGAGGATCCGCACGAGCGAACACGTTTTTACACGCCCCTCCCTCCCTCCCTCCGTGACTTTCGCTTTGAGACGAAAATTGCAATCATAATTCTCTCGGTCCTCCCCGATCATACCCCCCGAGCTCTCCCCAATTTTTCTTCGTGAGAGAGCGTGAATTCGCCGCCGTGCGATTCCGCGCCGGTTCCGCGCGAGACTCCGCTGCTCAGAATGAAAATTGCCAAATCATAACTCTTCCTCTCACTCCTTAATAGTAACGTAACGTCCCCAATTGCGCGGACGCTGGATTCTCGATATTCTTTTTGGCGTGACATCCTCGAAGACGAAACAAGCGGAACGTTTCCCGCGCGCGGGATAAACGAAATAATATTCGCACTCGAAGCATTCGAAGTGGTGGCTGCGCCGGAATATGTGAATTATGCTCGCGGCGCTATTCGATGCGTGAAATTGAAGTTTCGCGAGCGACGCAGCAGAAATTCGCGATAGAAAAATACGACCGGCCGCGGCGAGAGCGCGGTGCCGGTCGTCCGCCGACCCGCGTCGCATGAAATAATAAAAAAAAAATACATAGATCGCATGTGTATACATCATCCCTATCAAACGCGAATATCTATGCTACGAACGAACGAGTGAGCGAACATTTTGCGCGGGAAATACATATTTTCCGCATTCTGTGAGAGTTCGTTGACGTAACGTGACGTCGAGAGTCTTTCTTTTTCTTATTGCGAGAGGTAAGACGAGAGAGAAGCGACGTTCTAAATTTCCCAATTCCCTCTCTCTCCCTCTTTTCCTCCCTCTCTCTTTCCCGATACTTGCTGCTACCGCGTACTCCATAGCGCAAAGTATTCTCCCTCTCCTTGCGAGGGTACAGAAATATTCCACGTGGTCGCACCCGAATGTTCCGCATTTCCCTTCGCCTCGAAACACTCAGTTTAGACGCGCGAGACACTAGGAGATTTAAATTCGGCGAAATAACGGCGGGCGCGCACGGAGGAAAGTCGTCGTCCGTCTATTTTGCGCGGGAAACCACGGAGAGACGCGTTATTTTTCTCGCTCGCGAGGGTGAGTCCGTTCCGTCGTGTTTTTCGAGTCAATCGGCGAGATTAGTCGCTCGTGGAAAAATGTTCCAAACGTCGCGGAAAGCGCGCGCATGCGTTCCATTTTGCATTCCCATCCCGTGAACGGGTCGCGCGGATATTTTCCCTCGCTCCTGCGGCGACGGAAATCGGTCGAATTTCGCGCAAGTGCACGCGCGAGCGTCCATTACGCGCACAATAGTGCGCAATGCCGCGGCGTTTTAAGCTAAATCTAACCTCAGCCCGCGCGCTCTCTCGCTCTCGTACGGCCCGATTTAAATTGCGGCTTAATCCGGATTATCCAACGCCGGACCAGCTGCGAAGAGAACACACTGCAAATACACGGTATTACGTAACGGCCGCCGCTCAAATAGGCTCTTCACTGATTACACCGCAAAGTCCATCGGCCGAGCGGATGTCTCCGGGTTTACGGCTAATACTCCGCAGCTTCTCGAAGCCACGAAGGGAGGAGAAGCGCCGGTGGAAGTGTAAACTGAGAAAGAAAATGAGTTCGCCATCTGAGCGACTATCGTGTCGCGCAGTGAAATAATTGAAGGGAGAAAACCCATTATTTGTACCCCATTTTTAACCCATTTTTAACCCATTTGTTCCTTTCTTTTTTTTTTTCTTTTTATAAACACTCTTGTAATGTCATTGACAATCATTCACATGTATGCCACTGTGATTTTGCCAGAATAAAAAAAAATCAAAAAATTGGCTGTCACCGTAAACCTTTGCGAAACGTAGAATTTTCTTTTTCGATGGACAAATAAACGAGTAAAGGCCGAAATTTAAATAAAGTGATCAAAATATTTGACTAATTTTTAATTAAAAATATTTTCAAAATTATCTCCATAATTTTCGCCAGCATTAGCTTTTATTTTCCTTCGTTAAATTTTGATCAAACACTTTACGAGAGCTTTAAAATCTCTTATTAAATAAATAAATTTGGAATGGAGTTAACAAATTTCTCTCTCTCTCTCTCTCTCTCTCTCTCTCTCTCTCTCTCTCTCTCTCTCTCTCAGTATACCGGTGCCGGGGGAACAACACAAGCTCGCAACAAAAGACCTCGATGACCGAAATATGAAATATCTGATTCTATTAATTTTCGTTATCGCGTAATTGCATCAACAGTGAGCAAGCAAGAGTTTACTTAACATGAATTAACGCTTAATCGAATTAATTTTCACGTTTCTGTCGAGAGTACATACACATCGGAAATGTCGCGAATTACACCGCGACTTTGATTAAAAATTATCGCTGCGCAGACGAAGACGATGTCGCGAGAAATGTGGATTTGCACGAATGGCGCATTAATTGCAACAACGTGTATGGCTGTAAATCTCAGCAGTGGCGACGCAATCGACGACTTATCTCTGTCACTTCCGTCACGAGTCCGCCATGTATCGCGTGTCCCCTAGAGGAGAGGAACGTCCTTTCTCCGAGAGGCTCGTGCCGAGATTTACGTCGACCTCCTACCTTCTCCTCACCGCGGCTCGCAGTGACAGAGCTCGCCGGGGTTATAAATAATCGGCACTTAAACAGTAATAACACAAGTTTCGGACACGCGCGTGCGCCCATTGCGCCAAGTGTTTCCTAACGCGAAAATAATTCTGGTCAGCGTTCGAGTCCGTGAAGCAAGGATGGCGACACACCGAACGATGATGACGCGCCCCCGGCGGCGTCGGCGCCTCTAATTATAACCGCATTCATAATTCCGCGCGAACATGTCGCGCAGAAGGACACACACAGACGCATGAATATAATACGAAGTATCCGGCTTCGTCCTGCCGCCATTCTATTATTCATGCATTTCCCTCTCAAATTTTATTCATACCGCCGTCGTCTACGATATCCGGGCTGCCAATTACCTTTGACAGGTCTCGGGCGCTTTAGTGTCTCATCGAATGTTCTCACCGAAATTTCCCACGCGCGTGCAAGGGACGAATTAACTCGTTTCGCTCAAACACTACCGAATTTTTTACCCGAAAGCTCGCTCCGGGCCAAACAGCCGCTCGATGCTCGCAAAATATCGTTCGTCTCACCAAAATTACAGCTATTTTTCGGCCAACTACGTCCGTTTGTTGTCCCAACAAAACGCCCACGAGATAATCGTGCTCGTTTGTAAAATACATTTGGAAAAATAGAGTGTTCGATACCCTCTGTGCACATTTTGTACGCGAACTTTTCGTGTTGGAACAACGAGAGTATACAATCGACGCCGAGAATGCTCTCGTGATGATTATACCAGCGAGAGTTTAATTAATTTTTTCTCATTCTGCATTCAACCGAAACTCCTCGCTCCATCAGCCGCGGGCGCGGCCAATTTCTCGCGACATGGACGTATTTCAATATACGTCAGACACGAATTGCGCTTCCTTTGTCGCAAACGGACCCAAGTGGCGGCTCTTAGTCCCCCGACCCCGCGCGGAGCATAATCTCGCGGTTAACGTGAACGGTTGCGCGGCGCATTGAATCAATCCAACCAAGCCAACACACGTTCGCCCGTTTAATTGCAAGCGGATCAATGGGACTCGAGACTTCGCGCGGTTCTAGCGACTTGCGGGAGATTGATTTTCGCCCACACGGCGACGATTCTCCGTCGAGTGACCGAATAATCGTGTACGCGTGCACGCACGTGCGTTAACCGTGAGGTTAGACCCTCCGCCGCCCACGCGCCACGGCATGCAATTATCGGAATGCTAAGGCTCTCTCTCGTGCAGCTCGACGTTAAGATCAATCCGGGCCATTTGGCGTGTACAGGTGCGCCTACGCGGCCGCGACGCCGCTAATAACCGCCTCGACAACTGTCGATTCGATCAAGCGGAGTGGCCTGTGGACACTTCGCGCCTACCTCCTGCTTTGTCGGAGAGCTTTGCTCTCTCTCCCCCCCTCTCTCTCTCTCTCTCTCTCTCTCTCTCTCTCTCTCTCTCTCTCTCTCTCTGTCGCTTTCGCATTCGACAGAATGTCGCAGCTGCCTTCGGCTACACATCGGCTACACGTCGAAACCGATAAATACTACACGTACGGATACCGTATCGGCGTTGATATCTCGCGCTGTCGCTTGATTTGTTCCCAGCAGATCGGAAGCCGGATTCTCCGGCGCAAGAGAGTGCGCGAGAATGTTTAATGTTGTTTCTCTCGGGCTTTTTGCAATTTTTCAATGGAGGATGGAGGAGATAAGATCTTTTTTACGAGCGTCGTTTCGACGAGAGAGTACAATGTGTGCCGCTCGCGTAACACGTATCACAGCGTATCTCAAGATGCGATACACGACGTTCGTGGTTCGAATCGACGCGCGAATGCGACTTCATGCGCACCAGTCCTTCTTCTCTTCCTCTTTCTTGATTTTTCTCGCATTGCGGAACCTTGGAAAGACGGCGCGCGCAGAGACGTCGAGATAAATGATAAAAGCGACATTTAAGCTTTTACTTCGCGAACTTTAATCGCGCGCTTTCAGACGCTAATAATAACGTGAGTGGGAAAATATATTCGTGTCTAGATTCAGCGCAGCCGATGTGGGCGAGAATTCAGCGTGTTTCGTTTTATTGCGCCGCTTTCGCTATCACAACCTAACCAACAAGAAAGGAATTAACAGTGCACATACGATCGATTCGCCCAGAGTTTTCGTGCAGAGGCCGATATGAATGCATATAGTTCGATATAGTTTGTATGCACACCGCGAGTAACATGATTTTTAT